TCCTGGGATCCTGCAGATCCCACCCTTGTCTGAAGGCGTCGTTGCCCCCCACCTCCCTCCTCCTCATGCTGGGCCCTGCTGCTCCCCAGGTCCTCCCTCCGCAGTCACCGCTTCCCCTGAGCCCGCACTGTAGAGGTGCCCGGGGCCTGTCCTGTGATACGGGGTGTTCTTGCCTGCCCAGATCCAGCTCTTGGAAAATGCGCTCCTCCGAGATGCCGGCGTCTTCCTCTAAACCCTCGTGTGATTGTGTGGGCCAACGGGATTAGGAGGCAGAGAGAGGGACTGAGAGAGCAGTAGAAAACCAGAGACAGAGAAAAGAAGAATGAGGAAGACCCGTAACAGATGGCAAAGTAGAGGATGGGTGAGGGATTTGCCAAGAGACAGCAAAAGTGAAAAAAAGATAAGAAAGCAGGAGGAGAAAAGCAACTGCAGAAATGTAGAGAACAGCTAGATGTACAGAGATGAAGGACAGACAACAAGGTAGTGAGGGGCAGCAAAGAGGGAGGCTCAGAGTGAGGAAGAGGAGGAGGGATTTGGAGCCAGGGCAGACAGAGCACAGTGGTGCTGGTGGCAAAGAGAACAGAGGGAGAACCACAGCAGGGAGGACACCTGGGGATCTGGGGTGCCAGATTGGGGACAGGGGGTTATAACAGGAAAGAGAGAATTTAACAGGGAGAACAGAGGATGCGCAGAGATGGGAGAAGAGGCAGAAATCTATGGAGATTGAGGACGATCTAAAGCTTGGGGAGAAGGAGCAACTAGAGGTTAAATAAGTTGTGACAATGGAGCCCGGGTAATTTTTGTATTTTTAGTAGAGACAGGATTTCACCATGTTGGCCAGGTTGGTCTCAAACTCCTGACCTCAGGTGATCCACCCACCTCCACCTCCCAAAGTGCTGGAATTACAGGTGTGAGCCACCGCAGCTGTCCGCCCATGTATTCTTGATTGAAAAATTTGCTTATGTCTTAGTTCTGCAGCTGACCCTGTTTCCCTGTTTCCAAGGTCAATAGCTGTGTGTTCACACTTCTGCATTTTATAAATGTTACTGAGATTTTCTTCTAAGGAAGAATTCAATGTTGGCTGTCAGTTTCATCAGAACCTTTCCAAAGAATTTTCTTTAACCCAGGTAGGTGAAAGATGCTTCTCTAAATTTAAGGATGGAATAAGAACAACCCATCCCATTAGCCCTTCCAGGCCCCCATATAAGAATTCAGGCACATCTTCTCACTCATCTCAGACCTTCTCAGGGTAACATGGTGAAAATGTTTCCCACTCTGAGCCCGGGTGAGCCTCCCTGCAACTTGGCGATGAAGGGCTAGACCAGAAAAGCTCAACCTGAGTGACCCTGACCCCTGAAATGATTGGCAAAATAGTGGCGGTGTCTGGATGTGGCTTTTTCTCTGGGAGAGGGGAGTGCCCAGTTGTAATTAGAATTTTCCATGGGATGCAGTAACCCAAAAATGAAAAAAAAAGGCAGAAGAATGGAAGAAACAGGGTGGTAGACTCAGAAACAGAGAGCATCTTCAGAGGCCTTTGTCTGTATAAGGATATCACAGCTACGTCTAAAGCAGGTCGTGTCAGTCCCTGGCAGGGAACCCTCCACCGGCTTCCCGTGTTCCCCGGGACAAGAGTCCAGCTCTTCACTTTGGCTCCACAGCCCTGTGACCAGGGCCCCTGCCAGTGTCCAGCCTCCTCCTGGGAGCTTGCCCTCCTCTCCTGACTCCCTCTGCCCCAGTCACATTTGCTTTTCTCTTTTTTCAAACATCAAAACCCTTCCCGTCTCAGGTCGTTGTCTCCGCTTTTATTCTATGTTTCTAAATGAAGATGGCACTGTCCCTTTCTCCTTCAGGTCTAGGCTCAGAGATGCCTCCCATGCCCTCCCACCCCCATCTAAAGTTCCCTCTGCCCGTCAGTCTCTATCAGATTACTCAAGTTTTCTTATCTCTGTGTCAATCTTATCAGAAATGCACCTTTTTTTTTTTTTTCCAAACAGACTCTCACTGTGTCCTCCAGGCTGTGAGTGCAGTCTTGTGATCCTGGCTCACTGCAACCTCTGTCTCCTGGGTTCAACTGATTCTTCTGCCTCAGCCTCCCAAGTAGCTGAGATTACAGGTGTATGCCTCCACACCCTGCTAATTATTGTATTTGTATTTTATTTTATTTTTGAGTCTTACTCTGTCGCCCAGGCAGTAGTGCAGTGGTGCAATCTCAGGTCACTGCAGCCTCCACTTTCCAGGTTCAAGAAATTATCCTTCCTCAGCCTCCTGAGTAGCTGGGATTACAGATGCCCACGAAGCTCGGCTACTTTTTGTATTTTTAGTACAGACAGGGTTTCACCATGTTGGCCAGGCTGGTCTCGAACACGTGACCTCAAGTAATCCACCCACCTCTGCCTTTCAGAGTGCTAGTATTACAGGCATGAGCCACCGTGCCTGGCCTAGTTATTGTGTTTTTAGTAGAGAGAGGTTTTCTCCATGTTGGCCAGGCTGGTCTCAAGCTTCTGAGCTCAAGTGATGTTTCCACCTCAGCTTCCTAAGTAGCTGAGACCACAGACACACAGATGTGCACCACCCTACCTGGCTAAGTTTTTGTATTTGTAATAGAGTTTTCCTGAAGGGGAGCTCATCCCAGCCCAGCTCCCCACAGCTGAAGTGTGTGTGGGGGGGGGCGGGGGGGGGAGCTTCTCCAGGAGGGGAGCAGGAGTTTTCCTTTAGGAGTTTATTGTCCCTGGTGCAGTGGGCAGCAGAGGGGACCGTATTTCCTCAGGGTGGGGTCTCCTTTGTTTGTGTCATTGTGTTACAGGGAGGGAGCGTGTTGATTCTGAGCAATAAACAGCATATTTTTAACATTCAGGATTGACTTCTAAAGACTCTTGGTCCATGAGGAAGAAACCCGGAAGAGGAAGAGGAAAGCAGAGGAGTCAGGGATGGCTCTTCCTCAGGTGAGATGATATTCTCGGTGGATTGTTCTGTCTCCTTCCTTTCAGAAACACTGGGGCTTGGAGTTGGGAATCTTCTGAGTCTGAAGCGTCCTGTCTGACAGGTTTGCTCGCACTCACCCATGCCTTCCCTCAGTCCCTCTCATCTCGCTTAGATTCCATCTCTCATGACCCAGTGACATGAAGTTGAGAAGAGGCGGCACTGGGCATGGGCCTGGGAAGGGCTCACAGCAGACATGGATGGAGACGGGGTGAGGACCCCGTAGTGTCAGTGCTGTTGGGCAGCAGGGATTGTTCAGGGGCCACATCTGGATGCACTGTCAGCTCTCTGTGGACCAGGATTAGAGCAGCTGCCAATGG